AATGATGTATACTGCATTGAAACAGATGAGGGAGAGAACTGTTTAAAAGGATTCTCCCACAAAACCCCAGCTCAGCTCACAGCCCAGTGAAGGCCACACTGTAAAATGATGAGTAGGCTGCAGGCGTGGGATCTGGATCTAGGTTTCCTTAGATGCCCCCAGTGATGGGCAACCCATTCCCTTCCCAGGCAGTCCACAGAATTGAGGGGCAGCTCTGAATGGCACAGGGGAGTGGAATAGGATAAAGGGTTTGGGGTAGAGGAAGGTGCTTTCCTATCTTAGGAGAATAGAAGCTTCTTGTTAGAGGAACTCTCAACCTGTTTCATCAATCACCTTTGGAGTCAAAGGGGGTCATTTGGAGGGAAACCCCCTGGTCAACGGTACCTGAATGAACGGGAAGAGGAGCCCCACAACAAAGTTGGAGAGCCAGTTGACTGTGCCCGCGATGAGGAAGGCAGCTGGCCGCTGGGTCTGCTGGAAGAACTCGCCGGTCAGGATGAATGGGATGCCGCCTGTAGGGTCAGAGCCAAGAGCAGAATTAATCACCCCAGAAGGTTCCACTGTCAGCTTCTCTGCCCTTATCTGAGGCTTTGAAGAGCAGCCACAAGGCAGGGAGTGCTCCTGTGGAGAGAGCCAGCTCCGCTCCTTTGAGAAGGGGTGCTGGAGTCAGATCACAGCTCAGTGCATCAGAACACACCCCAGTGTCTTTCTCTGTGAAAAGTCTTTTCATGTCTCTTGCCTATTTTGTAATTGGGTTATAAGCCCTATAGGATTTTGTAAACCTTGTCCGAGATGGTATAGCCATATACCTTTTCCTAGTCAGTAGACTTTCTTTTCACTCTATTGGGAAAAGTTGCAGATGCACAAAAGGGGATTTAATCTTTAGAAGATCCCACTCATCAATTTTACATGCCTCCGGAAACTCTATGAACTTTGATAAATGTTGATAGCTGTAGAGGGACTTCTGGCCTTTTGTTCACAGGGTCACTATAAGTTGCGCTCGACTCGAAGGCAATCAACAACAACAGCAACAGTCACCAGTTTTATTCTTTCCTCGTATCTTTCTGGCTGTATTTGACAGCCTCTTTATACCATAGGCGAGGTCTCAAAATCACTGACAATAAGACAGATGCAAATCAAAACCACAATGAGATATAATCTCACCTCAGTAGCAGTGGCAAAATTTATAAGGGCAACAAAAATCAATGTTGGAGAAGTAGGAATTCTCAAACATGGTTGGTGGGATTGTAAAACGGTACAGCCACTCTGGAAGGTAGTTTGGTGCTTCCTCCAAAAGCTGAACATAGATATTCCACATGACCCAGCTATTCTACTGCTTGGAATATACCCTGAGAAAATGAGAACTAAGGCTCAAACAGAGCCTTGTACACCAATGTTCACAGAAGCATTATTCACCATCACAAGAACATGGAAACAGCCCATATGTCCAACCACAAACAAATGGATTGAGAAGTTATGATACATTCATACAATGGAATACTACGCAGCACGCAGGAGCAATAATTTTGTAAATTAAAACCTAATTTGGGAGGGACTTAAGAGCATTATGCTGAGTGAACTAACTCAGTCCTTACCATACTCCCTGTGTGAGAAAAACAAGCCCCAGAGAGGGTTACATGGCTTGTCCAAGGCAGCCCAGCTTGTTAGCAGTGGGATAAGTATTGGAGTGTAGAACCTTGGCTTGGGCTTCTGCTCAGCCTTGTTTGTGGGCATCTGGAAGTCCTTGCTAGCTGCTGTCTTTGTTCTCCATAACACCTCTGACTGATGTGCCTGGAGCCCCAAGCCCTGAGGTCACCCTGGGAGCTGAGCATTTCTCCAGCAGGAACACCTCTGGCATTTGAGCTTTATTTTGTGAGACACTCATATTCAGGATGCTCATCCCTTCTGGTGACCTGATGCTGTGAGTGCATCCGGTCACCATGGCAACCCAACAGCAGCCACACATTTCTGATGCCTCAGGGTCCACAGTTGGCTGAGAACATCCCTCTTATTTTATTTTTACTGTGATTTGAGCAAAAGTTTACAAGGCAAATTAGTTTTCCACTCAACCATTCACACACATTTGCTTTTATGTCTTTAATTACAATATACACAAGGTAATCATACTTTCCCCTCTTCCTTCCTGTAACTCTCATTTTCATTAATCCTTCTACCCTGCATTTCCTGCCTTTAGGGCTTTATAGTTGGGGCAAATGCTGCTCTTTCCACCTTATTTTGTTGTGTACCATTGAGTTGCATCTCAACATCAATAAAACAAAGATTCTCAACACCAGGCAGCATCATGATAGACGGAGAAAAGATTGAGGTTGGTAACCATTTCATCACACTCAGATCCACAATCTACATTCTTGGCACCAGAAGTCAAGAAATCAAAAGACAAGTTTGTTTAGGAAAGTCTGCTGTCAGGGACCTCTCCAGAGAGCTAAAGAGCAATGATGTCTGTCTAGAGACAAAGGTGCATCTGGTCCAGCCCATGATATTCTCAATTGTTTGCTATTCATCTGACAGCTAGACAATGACCAAGGATGATGGAAGAATAATTGATGCCTTTGAGTTGTGGTGCTAGACAAGAGTACTGAACATACTATGGATAGCCAAATAAGACAAATATATATGGACAGCCAAATAAGTGTGGCCTGGAGAAGGTGAAACCTGGTTGCTCCTTGGAGGCAAAGATTTTGAAACTCCGTCTCATATAGTTTGGTCATGTTGTCAGGAGGGACTAATCTTTGGAGAAAGACATCATGCTTAGAAGGGCAGAGGATCAATGTAGAGTGGATCAACCCCTGGATGAGATGGATTGAAACAATGACTGTGAGCAATGGGATCAGGTATGTTAGAGACAGTGAGGTTGGCTCAGTATAGAGCAGGGTTGTTTTTAGCATAAAAGAGACACAGATAGAAACTGACAATAGCCATAGGAAGATGCAGATGCAAGTGAAGGAACATCTGGAGCCACCAGAAGCCAGAAAAGAAGCAGGGGACAGATCCTCAGAGCCTCAGAAGGCATCAACGTGGCTGGCACCCTGACCTCAGGCTCCTAGCCTCCAGAACTGTGACACCATAACATCCTGTTCTTATTGTTGTTATTGTTTTGTGTGATTGAGTTGACCATGACCCATAAGGACCCTATGAACAATGGTTCCTAACATTGCCTTATCATGCATGAGTCAACCTCACCATCTCTGACATGCCTGACTTCATTGCCACAGTCATTGCCTCAAGCCAGCTCATCCAGGGTCTTCCTCTCCTGTGCTGACCCTCTACCCTTCCAAGTATGATGTCTTTCTCCAAGGACTGGTCCCTCCTGGCTACATGCCCAAAGTATGTGAGATGGAATTTCAAAATTTTTGCTTCCAAGGAGCAAGCAGATTTCACCTTCTCCAGGACCTGTTTGTTCTCCTGGCAGTCCATGGTATGTTTAATACTTTTCTCCAGCACTGCAACTGAAAGGCATTGACTCTTCTTCTGTCATCTTTAGTCATCATCAAGCTGTCAGATGCATAGCAAGCAATTGAGAAGACCATGGCCTGGATCAGGTGCATCTTAGTATCTAGATGAGGTCTGCCTTAGTCTTTCTGTTCTTAGAGCCACTCAATTTGTCGTACTTTCCTATGCAGCCTTAAGAACACGACATCCCCTTTTTTGCCTTCCTGATGGTCTGACTACTGGCCAGACAGGTAACTAACTAGCTAAGGTGTCTCCAGAGTAGCCCGTGGTCTCTCTCACCTGCAGCATGACATCCAATAAAATGGAAGGGAAAGGAGGCTCAGGCAGAACCTGGTGTGGATGGGGATTATTTAATTAAGCTGAAGGGAGTAGTTTCTTCAATAACCCTTCTTTGTCATCACAGCCTTCTGCTTATTTCCTTTCACAGGTTTCACCATAATCCTTTTCTCGATCCTACTGCTGTGTCTGGGGGAGGGGGGACTCTTTCTGTCTCTTTTCCTCATCCTGAATTGTCTCTGTCCCTTAGCGGTCACTTATTGGTCACTTATGGCATGGTGGATGAATTGGAAAGGATGACGTCTTTTAAGGATGAATTGTTGTTGTGAGGTGCCATCGAGATGGTTCAGACTCGCAGTGACCCCACAGACAATCCATCCTCACCATCTCTGCTGGGCTTGTGTCCACTGCTGCGGCCAGCGTCACCTGCTTCCAGCTCACCGAGGGTCTTCCTCTGTTTCGCTGACCTTCTGTACTTTATCAAGTAGGATGCATTTCTCTAGGGATTGTCCCAACATTCCCAAAGTACAGGAGAGAAAGGATGAGCAGCCATTCATTAAGGAGCCTGCTGTCATAGTGTGTAATGCGCTAGGCTGCTAATGGAAAGGTCAGGCGTTCAAATCTGTATCTCTACAGAAGAAAAAGAAGGCAGTTTATTTGTAAAGATTAACAGTCTTGGAAACTTGATGTAGAATCGTCATGAATGTAAACTTGATGGAGGATTGCCATGATTATAGACTTGATAGAGGATTGGCACGATTTTGAACTTGATGGAGGATCACCATGATCATGAACTTGATGTGTGTTCTTCATGAGTATGAACTTGATAGAAGTTTGCTTTAAGTATGAACTTGATGGAGGATCACCTTGAGCATGAACTTGATGGATGTTTGTCATGAGTATGAACTTGATAGAGGTTTGCTGTAAATTTGAACTTGATCATCATGAGCATGAACTTGATGGAGGATCACCTTGAGCATGAACTTGATAGAGGTTTGCTGTAAGTTTGAACTTGATGGAGGATGGTCATGAGCATGAACTTGATGGAGGATCACCTTGAGCATGAACTTGATGGATGTTCACCATGAACATGAACTTGATAGAGGTTTGCTGTAAGTTTGAACTTGATGGAGGATCGTTGTAAGAACTTGATGGAGGATCACCTTGAGCATGAACTGGCCCAGTGGCAGTGAGTTTGAGTGTGATTTGGACACATATCTTATGCCATCAAGGGAATGGAGGGCTAATCAGATCAGGGGACCAGCGTGGAGAAGGATGCAGAAGTAGGCTGAAAGAGGAAACGGGTGTTAAGAACCCAGGCTAAGAAGGGGGAGGTAGGACAGCAGTGCCATTGTCTGTAGCAGTGATGGGTGGGTCACAGGGTCATGCCAGAGGGTTAAGAGTCTGCAGGTGGGAAATGTTAGCTACTGAGTCAATTCTAACTCACAGTGACCTCACGTACAAAAGGAAGAAACGTCTGGTCCTGTGTCGTCTCCACAATTGTCAACATCTTTGAGTCCACCATTCTGGCCACTGTGCTAGTCCTTCTCGGTGAGGGTCTCCCTGGCCCTATCAGTCCTCCCCTTCATAACATAAGATCCTCCTCCAACCATGGATAGTCCCTGATGAAGTGTCCAAAGCAAGCTGGTTTGATAACATTCTGTTGCAATCTATAAAGCTTCCACTGGACAATTTTTGGAAGTAGATCACCAAGTCTTTCTTTCTACTCTGTCTTAGGCTGAAACATCCATCATGGGGGATCTTA